GATCTTGTAATATCCAGTTTACAAACCTGTTTGGATTTTTTTGATCAACTTTGATTGGTTGACAGACCACCACGTCACTGGTAGCTAAAAATAACCGCTTACACACAAAGCGGAAAAAGCTGCGATGCATGATTCGGTGCATGGTCTTGTCACTGAAGCAATTGCTGGGGTACAGGGTAAGATGAAGTCGTTAACCGACTCCGGTCAGTCAATCTTTCTATAATCTATAATCTTTATTCTTAAATCATTCTTTAGACACGGTAAAAACTTCATGTATAACCCATCGTCTTTAAGTGAAAACGCTCATTAAAATACAACAATGGAAAAAAAAGTTAAACGAAACTGTAAAAAGCTTACAAAGTGAAATGAAGGAAAATCTGCAAGAAGTTTTTGATTGACAACTTTTCTGGACTGAAATCTTTTCCTGAACGAAATGCAGTTCTGGTACAACATCTAAGAAGTGCATTGAGTCTATGTAATCAATAAGGCAGTGAATACAGCAAACAGCAAAAAGGCTTGGTTCGCGGCTTATATGAGTAGTGCCAGGCCCAGGGCAGAGCATGTGGTTAACAGGATGACGTTCAAGGAGACATGTGAGCCCACGTTGCATTCGTCCTCGTCACAGCAGCTAACCTTGCAAGTCACGCCGTTATACTCACCACAGCCGATTATCGCCTGATTACAGCCCAGCTCGTTGGCACAAGAGTTCGCCACGAAGGTCGCGCTATCCTTCTTGAGAAACCTCCTCATACATTTGTCACTTCCCGCACCGCAGTCCGTCAAATACTTGCCCTTGTCGCCTTCCAGAGTGCTCTTTTTACAGTCATCTTCAGTGCCACTGCATTTATAACACTTCAAAGCCGTCACTGATCAAGAAGAGGAGAAACAAGAAAACGCATTCAAAACACATTGACACTTTTAGAGTGTTTATTACAATCTTTATTCCTTTAATATTCTTAGCTTCATTCTTGATTTATTCCTCTCTGATTCACGTCCAAGTGTCTACGGCCTAGGTTCATTTGATTTATTTTGTTTTGTACGTGGCAGAACGAGACCTCTGCGGGCGGCCCAAGTTCACCGTCAGTATAAAATCAGCTCCTTCCTTGAAAGATTCTGGAAGGTTGGAAACTTTTATTCTGCGGATTTTCATTCCACAGAATGCAAACAGATTTCAGTTACGCTTAGAGGAAAAGAAAGTGCCCAGTAGAGAGGGATCGCACTGTAAATCACAAAACAGACTGACATCTGGATGGTAAGGAAGGGCTAAAGAAATTGAAAACGGAATAAGGAAAACTTGGATTTACAACAGAAATTCATATCGAATGTTATTTTGTACTCGACCTTTTGAAACCTGAACTGATTGGCACAAATCGCATATAGCTTGGGGAATGTCACGTTTTACGCCAATGGACAAAAAAATTAAAACAAGCAAAGTAATGCAAATAATTTTCTGATTTAACCATGTTAAATTCCACACATTGCAAGTTATTTTCGTATGGACCACCGAAGAAGACTTGCATTACAGCTTATCCATATTTGGTAACTAAACTGACAAAAGTACACTGAAAATCACGTGATTTCTGAGAAAAAAGAGTCACAGTCGAAGTGTTGTTTCTCGGAAGGTTGCCGAACCTGTTTCTGGGCTTTTCTACCAAGAACTTGCCATTTAATCACATTTTCTTGCATAACAGCTTGGAATAACTGATCTGTTGGGTTCGGTGATCGCATCTCAACTTGAATCTTTGATTCTCCTGAAACCGCTGATGTGTCACAAGATTATGGTGCTGTCTAGATGGATTATTGCGCCCTCCTTAGGCTATCTCGTCGAATTCATGCCGAACAAATCCACAAACAAGTAACGATGTCCTTCAATGAACATCTGCCCCCTCGTGATAGGCTCTTTTTTTCTCAGAAATCGCGTGATTATAAGATGATTACGGCCAAATCAACTCCTCGTTGGCTATCAATCATTTCATCTTCAACAAGTGCGCACATGGAATAATTCAGTCCTAAATATCGTTTTCTCACACTAGTATATCGATTCGATTCTTTCGACCACATTCTGTAAACTAAAAGTGAACTTACAAAGGCGAATTGACTATTCCACACAACATAAATACTCGTCACGAAGGCTGCTGAATCGTACCGAAATAAATATCTCGAATGTTTCCCTCAAATACATGCACTTCAGTGCTCAACAAAACTTTCTTTCTTTCTAAAGCGTATTAAGATTAGGAAAATGGGGCGAAGTTTCATGATTCCTGTTTAGTAAAGAAGCTCAAACCGTCTGCTCTTGATTGCCTTTGTATGGGATGGAACAAACGTTTGAATAATGCGAATTCTCTTGACTGATAATTAAAAGTAATGATAAACTCCTACAACTTTGTAGAAAGCGAGTCATTTGCATTGGATTGTGAACGTTAAATGATTAATTTCTGGCCGGATTGCAGCACTAATATTTCATGTGATGAAGGTTATAGCTGGAATAACTAAGGCATTGCGAGAAGAAAGCTGTTCTTGAGGAGCTCTTCCTCATCCAAGCAAACTTCGACTAGACTTCTA